CATTCGGGAATCAAGGTCCAAGGGTTTGGAGGAAGACGGGTGAGGAACAGAACCCAAGCTGCTTGAGGTCCAGTGTGAAATATCCACAGTCAGTCATGATTTGGGGTGCAATGTCCGGTGCAGGTGTTGGTAAACTCTGCTTTCTTAAATCCAAGGTCACCGCAACAGTCTACCAGAATGTTTTAGAGGACTTCATGATTCCTTCTGCTGAGGATCTGTATGGAGATGCAGATTTCATCTTCCAGCAGGACCTGGCCCCTGCCCATACCGCCAGAAGCACCAAAACCTGGTTTGATGCCCATGCCATCACAGTGCTTAACTGGCCAGCCAACTCGCCGGACCTAAACCCCATTGAGAATCTATGGGGTATTATCAAGAGGAAAATGAGGGACACCAGACCCAAAAACAAAGAAGGGCTGACAGCAAGCATCAAGGAAATCTGGGCTTCCATAACTCCCAGGCAATGCCACAGGCTGATTGCCTCAATGCCACGGCGCATCGAGGCAGTGATTAAGGCAAAGGGATTCCCAACCAAGTATTGAAGATTTTTGAATTCCTGTTTTCGTGGATTTTATGAGCTGGAAGCCCAAATTATGTAAAAATAAACAAATAAATACTTGAAATCGTTAAAATTGTGGGCCCTGAATCTATAATCTATGAAAGTTTAACTTTTTGAATGGAATTATGGAAATGAAATAACTTTTCCATGAAATTCTAATTTTTTGGAAAGGGTCTGTACCTGAACCCCCTCGCTTGAGGCACTAACTCTCCCCCAACCCAGAGAGGGCAGTCCAGCGGTTTCCAACAGAGAACCATGGATACAGGGAACATAGTGAAAAACAACCACTACATTATAGTAGGTAAAGAGGCAACAGGATTTTTGACAGAGTAATAAATCGTCCGCATACAAGGATAGCCTATGTACCACACCCTCTCGTGTCACACCCTCAAAAGAGGTAGAAACACGTAGAGCTGCAGAGAGAGGTTCAATGGCCAGCGCGAACAGGAGAGGGGATAGGGGGCAGCCTAGAAGTGTGCCGTGTTCAAGAGCAAAATAACTTGAGCAGGTGTATATAGATATGCTCCACTTCGTGATAATAGTGGAGCCTCAGGATCAGCGGACAAGGTGGTTCCCCTTCAGTCGTACGTTGTCGGGGGGAACGATGACAACGGTCGATTAAGGGCTTATGTTTGAGGGAGAGCACATCGGTGAGCAGTTGAGCAGCAAACTCCCGGGGTCGTGGGCCGTCCTTTTACTTCTGGGACTCCTGTTACTGTATGTGGATGTTATTCCTGCATGATTGCCCTTCCAAATCCTTACACGTATCTGACAGCAGTTTCAGCTGTCAGGTCGGCCACCTGGGTCTGCAGCTGGGAGATGTCATCGGAGTGCTGGGTTGCATCTTTTTCAACTTCTTCAATGGTTTGGCTATGCACTAGCACTGGAGTTTTGATTGCTGCCATTGCTGTCTGTGTGTCTCTCTTCATTGTTAAGATTTCGTTTTTTAGGTCAGCAATAACTGACCCAAAACGAGCATCAATTGTGGCACAAAAGTCTTTTTTATTTTGGGCCATCACCTAGGGATGGACAATATATATCGTTAACGATAATATCGTCATTGTTGTTTTAACAATGTGCAAATTTACGTTATCGAGTATGCAAATGACTTCACAAAAACAACTGAAAACACATGTTGAAACCCCACACATTCACTGAACAAGAGTTACATAACTTGCGTGCAGCAGCACAACGCAGTACGCCTAGGTGGTCACATGATCTCTCACTGGCACCTTCCCGGCAGGTTAGCCTGCTGCTAAACAAACATTAGCAAGACAACATAGCAACACCGCCCACAGATGCTCCAGCAGCTTCGGAAGACGTGGGTCAGCTGTAGTGATAGGTCCCAGCCTGTCAGGTGGGAACTAAGGTCATGCTGTATTGTGTTGCAGGGGAACAATTAAAGGGTTGCTCAAGTACCTGAAGCCTGCGTGGTTCATGAGTGGTTTGCGGTTATACCAATAAATAACTAAACATGGTGTCAGAAGTAAAGTCAGACGCAAGCGTCAGTACTAGTGACTTAGTCTGCATAGGCCTATAGCGACATGCAAAAGTGTTTAGTTTTAGGTCAGGATAGTTTGCAGTACTGGAAGACCATCTACAGAGCTACCTAGCCTAGCCACAGTTAGCTGAACGAAGCGGCAACGTGGCACAGTTTCAAGTCTCCCCGCCGGAAAAGTTCACCTTCAAGGTTGAAGACTGGCCTAAATGGATTAAACGCTTCGACAGATTCCGCAGTGCTTCTGGATTGGAGATGCAAGCAGAAGAGAACCACAGGAATGTGATCTTTGAGAGAGCAAAGTTTAATCAGCAGCATCAAGAAACGGGCGAGACAGCTGACAGTTTAATTACGGCGCTGCACTGCCTGGCAGAGCACTGCTGTTATGGTGCTCTACATGATGAGATGGTGAGGGACAGGCTTGTGGTGAGTCTGCGGGACAAACGCCTGTCTGAACAGTTGCAAATGGACCTGGAATTGACGCTACGAAAGGCCGTCACCAGAGTCAAACAGAGTGAGCAGGTAAAAAAGCAGCAAGAAATGTTAAGAACATTTTTCCTTTAAAACATTGTGTCCATTAATATCATCCATGAGAAACAATTAACGAGCTATAACTCAGGCTGTTAAAAACACATATTTAAAAGAATATCATCTAATTATCGTTATCATCAAAATCCCCCAAAATATCGAGATATTATTTTTTGTCCATATCGCACACCTCTACCATCACCTCGCGAAGTGTTTTGAGAGCTGCAAGCACCTTATCAGCCACGATACTGCTCACTTCTCGGGTGTCCTCACTAGGTGGGGCTGGCGTCTCCCCCCGTCGCTGCACTCCTCATTGATTTAGGTTTCACCATAGTCAGTCACTCGGTCACTTGGGTTCCACAGACCATTAGGATTATTAAGTGAATGGCTGCAAGCTGGACAGATTTTAACTTGTTTACGGATGTTTTTAAAACAAAACTGCGGAGCTAATGGGAGATGTGACTAGTCCCTCATCCTGCCAAACTGGAAGCCCCGCACAAATGTCCACTGGGACTCAACAATGAACTGATTAAAGTTTGATGGTAAAAGGCCAAGGTGTGACCCTGTTTACATGTCATTCTTGTCAACGTGATATCTAAAGAAGGCCTTGAGGAAATTTCATCACATTTTGCAAGAATGTCCATTTGAAAGTCACAATGAACTGATTCGATTTTGGCGGTCAAAGATCGAGGTCACTGGGACCTCAAAAAACTCTTTTATTCCTTTTGGCCATAATTCAAGAATTCATATGCTAATTATTAAAAAAATTCACAACAATTTTTTTATGGGATAAAATTATGAAATGATGACATTTTATATCCAAAAGGTCAGAGGTCAGATTCACTGTGACATCATAATATTCTGCAAAAATACTTTTCTGGCCAGTATTTAACATCATATCTCAGGAACAGGAGAGGAGACATTTGGTCAGATACTGAATTGGTGACACTAATCTTAGGTTTCCATCTTGAAACTGTGCTGATTGTAGAGATCTTCCGTGCTTCCAGGTTGAAGATGTGTGTCAAGCAGCCACGTTTTAGAATATGTAGCTTCTTTGCAGTAACAACTAGATTTGATCCTGAATGCTCTGTTTCTGTTTTTTCTTTTTTTTCAAGTCAGGCTGACGTCTACGGAGCCCCTAAAGTCCCCAAAAAAGAAAAAAAACTATTTCGAGCGCACGAGAAAAGCTAACTCGAGTGCACGAGATAAGCTAACTCAAGCGCACAAGATACTAAAACATGAGCTCGACATACAGACAGGTCACTGTCTGAGTCAGTACCATGGCTGTGTACTATTTATAGACAAGGTTACGTTACAGCGCAGCCAGGCAGCATTGGCTCTCTGCCAAGTTTTCCAGCGCATCTGCTTGAATATCAAACTGTATTTTGTGAATACAAACTATATGCTGATGTTGTAAATAGTACAGGCTATAAACAGTAAGCAACATCTAAAATGATCCTCACTAATAGCGAATAATGAATTATAATGTAGCCTAATAAATCTATACAGTGCGACCACTAGATAACTGCCGGCTGCTGTCCAGTACACAAGACACACTGGTCTCTGTGAGCTCGTACATCATTTCCAGTGCATACTGCCTAATAAGGTAGGTAGTAATTGTGTAGAACAATTACTGTAAAACACTTCTGGGGGGGGGAGGGGCGGGGGAAGCACGCACACTTATCAATGATTAAGGATTTGATTTGAAGTTATTTTATAATAACATAGAGGTATAAGAGAACTAGAATGTTTTGCTAAGAAAATGAAACTTTGATAACTAAATCAAGCCATTTAAGGAGCAATATAACGCTGTCTGCAGGGACGAACGGACTGCATGATGGGGTCAAATGGATCATGTGCATAATTAACCACAAAACAAGCAAATACTTCATCTTAATGACATATAACACTCATTATGCTTCAGCTGAATCCTCTAAGCAAATGACCATGTTGAATTGAAATTAGTTTATCATGTTAAATGTCCGCAATTGTATGAAATTGCTCCAATGCCTTAACCAATCTTTGTGCATAATCACACAGCCTGGTATGCCCTGGCAAACACAGTGGGACTATTTTCTGAAAGCACAGAGCAAAGAAATGTCTTTTTTCTCCCCCGGTCTGCTGTCAGCAGGAGCGGCGGCTGCAGCAGGGATTTCAGCACCACGGACAGCACACGTACAAAGACCTGACAAGCGTCTCCTTTAAATGTGTTTGCTGCTAGAGAAATTATATATAATACATGAAGACAGTGACATATTTTCAATAAAAGACAATGAGTTGAATGTTCATTTCAAGCTTTTGTAGTACAACGAATTTCGGAATTGTGCGAGTGACGGAGAGCGGGGGGGAGTGTTTGATGCAGGAAACTCGATATGGACTTGAAAATCAATTTCGGAGTGGGGGTGGTTCGGAATGGAGGGCTGTCCCCTGTTGGGACATTATGTGCGCACAGCCTTTCACCACCTGGATCCTAAAATAAACACCTGTTTTATTACATAATCATGCTTCTGTGTTGCGCCATTCAAAAAGCAAGAATTACGGTTTAATACTCTTAATTATAACAGCCATGAGATACTAACTCAAGCGCACGAGATAAGCTAACTCGAGCGCATGAGATACTGAAACTTGCGCTCGACATACAATTATTTCCCACGCTGCAGTTAGTATCTCATGTGCACAAGAAACTATCTCGTGTGCACGAGATAGTTTTTTTTCTTTTTTGGGGACTTTAGGGGCTCTGTAGACGTCACTTCGTGGCTAAAATTCCTCATCTTAACAGGATGTTTTTGTTTGTTTTGGGTTTTTTGGCTGCTTAAAGTGCACAAGTGCACAGGTAGTACAATTAGTTTTGCAGTGCCCTTTTTATTTCTTTGTTGAATACTGAGATTTTTTTTCTTCTATCAACAGCTCTCTATTCAAACCAAGGATGGGTGTATTTCAGTGGTAGTTTCTACTATATTTCTTCAATCAACAAAACCTGGCAAGACAGCAGAGACGACTGTGTGCGAAGAGGTGCAGACCTGATGATTATCAACAGCAAAGAGGAACAGGTGTGTGTGTGTGTGTATGTGTGTGTGTGTGTGTGTGTGTGTGTGTGTGCATGTGACAGTGGTTATACATGTATATTATATGTTTTTTGTTTGTTTTGCTTTAATAACAAGGAATTCACAAGAAAATACCGACAGATAATGTGGATTGGACTGACTGACAGAGAGACAGAGGGGGTATGGAAATGGGTGGATGGCACTCTGCTGACAACAAGGTACACACATCACTCTTTTATTCAAATTTAGACATAACAGTACCTAAGCTGACAATTTCACTGTCAATAAAACATGATTTTCAATGATTGCTTTTACTTTAACTTAGTCACATTCTGTTTATTGATGTTTATTAAATGATTGTTCGTGTTCTTTATGAAAAGCATATTTGTTTTTTCATTTCAGCTTCTGGCACTCCGGGGAACCAAACAATTATGAAGGCACAAACGAAGACTGTGTGGCAGTAAACTACCATGATTACAAAAACAGCTGGAATGATTTAGAATGTGTAATTAAAAACTTCTGGATCTGTGAAAAGAAAATGACTCTGTAAATCTGGACACAAACAAACCAATGTTGTTACATCGTAAAACAGATTTATTTTCAATTGTGATTTGTAATTAATTAAAGGCACAAACATGTTTTGATTTGGGCCAGCTGTAGAAAATGTTCACATCATTTGACTAAAAAAATATCAGTCAAGGAGGTTGATTATTGATTACATTACATTATAATGCTTGAAGATCATTTGGAATGATGGTTTGTGAATTATTGCATGTGATTATTATCAAATTCTAGGCTAGCAAGAGTAGTGCAACAACAGCAAATAAATAAGTCCAGGGGCATGCTCCTCTGGGAGAAATATATTTGTATATATTTGATTTAAAGGCATCAATCTGGTGAATTCTGAGAGCCAAGTTATGATGGCAGAATATGCCTAGATTTCAACATCTTTGTGCTTTTAATGTGTGAAAAATGTTCTATTTTTTTTGGTAAACACACTAGTGGTAAGTTATGGTGAAGGGTTACACTTAAAATAGGAATTAGTGGTTAAACATTTCAGTAATCAAAAGAAAAATGACTTAACGTACCTCTGGAGGGCTGATTTATTTTATTGTTTTTTTTCTGTCTTAGCTCTTTAGAAACTACAGTTATATCATTTGGCACTACGGACGCTTCATATCCAGGCCTATAGAACAGGTCTATACCTTGTCTTTTTATTAAACAAACTAAATAGCCTGATGTTATTTATCTTATTTATACCATGGCATGTCATTTCTGTCTCTACATGGTGGCACGTTTACAGTTCTCCCGTGCTCTCTGTATCGTGCACGGCAGAGTTTCGCCCCAATGCCTACACACACATGCACACACACACACACACACACGCACACACACACACACACACACACACACACACACACACACAGGGTGAGCACACTAGAGGGCGGCTCGGGCCACATTTTCCTGACATCAGTAAACATTTTATAATTCTCTTTATAATTTGTTTTTTGGTCACCATGTAAGATATTCAAGTTTAACTCTCAACATTACTCTGACTTTTTTAAGACAAACAGTCCTTCCTTTAAGTGAAGAGCAGGTCTTACTGTATAGGAGGAAGTCTATTTTTGTGAGCACTTCTTCTCACTTCTGTAGAACTTAAATGTCCATTGTCTAAATGTTGAGTAAATGTTCATTGAGCCTGTATCTGTTCTGACAGTTAAGTTTGTATTGTATCTTTTTGGTTATAGGAGCTTAACTTTTGTGACAATAATGCCAATAATTAAAAGGACTACTGGGTGTACAGAGCTCATTTGTTTATTTAATGTTGCTGAATTTGAGAAGGCATAGAATCTCAAAATGAAAAATATGACATCAGTGAAATTAGTGTGAAAAAAACATTTACCTTAAAATGAGGAAGTACATGAGTGCTTTGCAGTTTAAGCAGTGTACAAAAGAAGAAGCAGATCACAGAAACCATCAGTAAGACATCCATCACACTCTGAGTGAAATATGGCCATCTATGAAAATGCATCAGAGATCACTGTGAAGATGATGAACCTCTCTGATGCTTCAGCCAGGACTGCTGCCTCCAAGAGTCACAGTGATGAAGATGGTACCACAGTGCCCGGTGAGACAGAATTGCTATCAATGTTTGGCTGTTTGAAACATCAGAGTAACATCACAAGGTCACACAGGGTATACTGTCATTTAGAGATTTAAGAAAACATCATCCAGAGAATCTGTGTTTGTAGGTTCAGCGTAGAAGTGAAAACGTCCTTTTGGTTTCATGGTCTTTATTTATTTATTTATGTTTTTTTTATTTTTAACTCTGTGACCATTTAAACATTGTTGTATTTTCATTTATTTTGTATGAATGTCATGTTTACCTTTTGACGGACAGATTACCCATTTCAAAGATGATATTTATTACTGGAATTTTGATCACATGGCTGTGACATTATACCAACGAGACCTGTTTGATGTTTGATAGAAAGTCAAAAAAGAGTCTGACAACCAGCAGTCATCCCTTTTTAGTCTTCTCGCCTTTTTGCGGAAGTTGTATATGGTTAGTGTTTTAAGTGTTTAGAAAACTGTTAATCAGGTAATGTATGTGTACGTGTGTGTGTGTGTGTGTGTGTGTGTGTGTGTGTGTGTGCGCGCGCGTGTGTGTGTGTGTGTGTGTGTGTGTGTGTGTGTGTGTGTGTGTTTTCCATACACAGGAGGAAAACTGCTCAGACATGTTGCCGTGAGCTTTTGTCTCCTGTGTGTCCTACAAGTTGCTCTAAACATTTCCCTCCGTCTTGCTCTCTGTGAGTTTTATTAAATTATTACATCATATATTAATTAATATGAATTCATTTTCTAACAGCAGAGTTGAAGCTTATCACTACAGGCGTTGCCATTTCCTGTGTGATACCACGGTTGTGTGGTTTGTTGCTGTATGACAGAATTGTTTGTTTTACAGATACATTTAACTTATAAAAATACCTACAGCTTTATGGAAAGATTCATGTTATATGGAAATTCTGTGTTAAAGTGAATTGTCTCTTTAGTTGTGAACATAATCTGATTCTGTTGCAAATGATGTTAGCCCCTCCACCAGGGATTGATGCCAGTTTTAAAAATCTGACTGAGGAGAGAGATGAGTTGAGGAGCATCAACCTTCATAAGTACGATGATGAAACTACTCCAATAATTTGGATTTAATGGATCCAATACTGTGCATATAATACAGTGTTACAAGTGTTACATGTCATCAGAATAATCCCAGTTAAATCTTCTGCCAAGAGGACTGTTATGATGATCCACTGTTATTAATTTCACCTGTAAGTTATTGCTGGACATCTCACTCTAAAACCATGGGTATGAATATGTTGCTCTAACATCCTCCACAGGGTAAATGAAAACAACCAATCAGAGCCGAGGAGTCTCTAATGCAGCTGTCAATCATGTCAGTCATGACTGGTGAAATGTTGTCAAACTTTCCAACTAAGCAGCGCGGATCGAATATGAATCAAGATCAGAAACATATTTAGTGCAGTGTTTAACTGTAAAATGAGAAAGTGACTGGAAACAGTTGAGCTGAAAACAAAGCACAGCCCAGGAGCTGGAGCAAATTTATTTTTTTACAGCTAAACAGTGCACTAAAACTTATGAAAAACATTTGTGGCAAGAAATAGGCAATGCACTGACAGAATCTTGATTCATAACTGCGGTCATGCATCGACAGTTTGACTGTAGATCACAAGCAGTGATTGACATGATAGACAGCTGCGTTGGAGACTCCTCGGCTCTGATTGGTTGTTTTCTGTGAGCTACGTAAGATTCTAACAAATGCCCTCAGAAGCACCATGAGGAGAAACCTGAGTAGATCATGTGTTTTATCTACTTCTGTGTGGATGTCGTGACAGTTACAAACTGTAGCTTTAACGACTAAATGTCATTAATAGATCAGTTTAATGTGGACATTCTGTTTGAAAGTAAACTTTCTCTTTAGTTGTGAACATTCTGTTGTAAGTGACGATAACCTCTCCACTAGGTATTGAGGAGAATTATAAAACCCTGACTGAAGAGAGAGATGAGTTGAAGAGGAAGTTGAGTAACTTTGGTGAGTATGATATGGAAATAAAAAAACTTACATATCATGTGCATAATTGCTGAATAACTGGTGACGTCAGTTGGGGTGAAAATACTTTACAGAGTATGTGACATTCCAGGTTTTAATTCATCATTCATATTTAATATAAAAGTAAAAATAACTCCAAGTCACAATTTTCATCCATCCATCCATCCATCCATCCATCCATCCATCCATTTTCATCCGCTTATCCAAGGCCGGGTCGCGGGGACATCAGGCCGAGCAAAGCACCCTAGAAATCCCTCTCCCCAGCAACTCCTTCCTGCTCCTCCTGGGAGACCTCAAGGCGTTCCCAGGCCAGATGGGATATGTAATCCCTCCAGCATGTCCTGGGTCTGCCCCGGGGCTTCCTACCAGTGGGACGTACCCGAAACACCTCCAGCTGGAGGCGCCCAGGTGGCATCATGATCAGATGCCCAAACCACCTCAACTGACCCCTTTCGACACAAAGGAGCAGTGGCTCAACTCCAAGTTCCCTTTGGATGTCCAAGCTCCTCACCCCACCCCACAGAGGAAACTCATTTCGGCTGCTTGTATCCGCGATCTCAATCTTTCTGTCATTACCCAGAGCTCATGACCATAGGTTAGGGTTGGGACGTCGATGGACCAGTAAATTGAAAGATTTGCCTTCCGGCTCAGCTCCCTCTTCACTACGATGGACCGGTGCAACAACTGCATCACTGCAGAAGCTGCACCAAACTGCCGATCCATCTCATGCTCCATTCTGCACTTACCCGTGAATAAGGCCTAGATATACTTGAACCCCCTCGCTTGAGGCACTAATTCTCCCACAACCTGCATGCTGTGATGGAGTCAACTGAACCACATCATCTGTGAAAAGCAGAGATGCAATTCTGAGGTCCTCAAACCAGACCCCTCCCTCCCCCTGGCTGCGCCTGGAGATCCTGTCCATGAAAATCACAAACACGATCAGTGACAAGGGAACAAGCCAAGGCCAACACCCACTAAGAACATGTTTGACTCTATGCCGAGTATGTGGACACAGCTCTCACTTTGGTCATACAGGGACCTGATGGCTCGTAGCAGCGAGCCCGGTACCCCCTAATCCTGCAGTACCCCCCACAAGACCCCCCGAGGGATCCTTCTCTGCTGAGCACAGCCTGAGACAAGTCCTGCTTTCCCTTCCTGAGGCATCAAACAGTCTGTGAGAACTTCCTTGAGGCCAACCAAAAGTCCTTCTCCATAGCCTCCCCAAACTCCTTGCACATCCAGGTTTTTGCTTCAGCAACCACCACAGCTGCAGCCCTTCTGGCCATACAGTACCTGTCTGTTTCTCCGTCATTGCCCACATGAACATTAAAGTCCTCCAGAAGAACTATGGAGTACCCAGTCGGCACCCCCACCAGGACACCGCCCAGAGACTCCAAGGAGGCCGGGTACTCCGCACTGCTGTTCAGTGTATACGCACAAACAACAGTCAGAGACCTTCTCTTAGCGACCCACAGTCACATCAAGGCAACCCTCTTGTTCTCCGAGGTGAAACTCAACACAGTGGTGCTCAGCCAGGGGCTTGTGAGTATCCCCACAATTGTCCAACACCTCTCACCCTGTGCAACTCTGGAAAAAGCAGGACTTCCACCCCTCTCCAGGAGTTTAGCTCCAGAACCAGTGCTGTGCATGGAGGTGAGCCCAACTATATCTAGTTGGTACTGCTTCACCTCCCGCACCAGCTCCGGCTCCTTCCCCACCAGAGAATTGACATTCCACGACCGCAGAGCCAGTCCACGATGCCTGGGATCAGCACGCCCGGGGCCCTGCCCCTGCCTGCTGCCCAGCACAAAATGCACCTGACACCAATGCCAGTCCCTGCAGGTGGTGGGCCCACAGGGTGGCGGCCCCATGTTACTCATTTAGGCTGAGCCCGACGGGGCCCCATGGCCCAAGACCCGGTCACCAGATGCTTGCAGGTTTATTTCTGTGTGACAGAGTGGTTTGTGTTGACAAATATCAAACAAACTATACCTGTCACTAATTCATTTCATTTCATTTATTCCTTTTGACCCCTCCCCGGGGTATAAGGGGCAGACAAAAAAAAAAAACATTAACAAATCAGAACAGGCAGCAGCCAATGCACAACAAAATAAATAAAACAGAATTTGTGTACATACATACAAGTCAAAGCAAATCAAGAGAAACTATTCAAGATTTTCTTTAAAAGTTTCAACAAATTTGACAAGACCTTTACTTTTCGAGATGACATTAACTTTTGAAACTTATAAATATTTGGATTTGCTCTATAGAACTGTCCGACCAACTCTCTTCTCTCTTTATCAAAAAAAGAACACACAAGTACATAATGATATTCGTCTCCTCGATTGCCAGTCAAACAAAGAGTACATTTCCGGGGGACATTTTCACGATCATACCTGCGCTCAGAGATAGGTAACTTATGATTTCCTCACCGAAACTTAGACAAACAAACTCTTTCGGCAGGTCTTAACATAATCAGATAAGGTTCAAAAGTGAAATCAGTTTTAAACAATTTATAACTATCACATAAAGGGTTACTTTGTAATTTCTCATGCCAGCTCTGTAGTTCCATGTCAGATAATCCACGTTCAGTCATTAATTTTAAATATTTAGGGTTCATCCGTCCAGCGTCATGCCATAAGTACAATAAACCACAATCATCAGGAATATTTTTAACTTTGGAAATCCATTTACACTGAAAAATATTGTCATCATACAAAGTCTTGAAAACAATAAACACAGTCAAAGAGATTTTTGCTGTATTATGACTAATTAAATGTACCCAAAAGTTAATTATTCTCATGTTTACCTTTAAATCTAAACTATTTCGACCAAACTCTCCATAAATAATACAATTTGCTGTGCGTTTATTAACATTAAGTAAACGTTTCAAGAAAGATCTGTGAAGCATTTCAATTTGGTCAAGTTTATGAAATCCCCAGACTTCACTTCCATATAAAAGAATAGGCACTATAAGCTGGTCAAATAACTCACATTGTATATCAACGGGTAACTGTAATCTAGTAACTCTGTTTTCCAAGGAGAATAAAGCTCTTTTAGCTAGTTTAACTTGCTTAGCTATTGCTTTATCAAATTGTCCATTAAAATTAAATAACATTCCAAGATAGTCATACTCAAAAGTAACTTCTAATTTATCTGAACCAAATTCTGGGAGTATCCGTAATTTCCCCCTAGAGAAAATAACAACCTTTGTTTTGTCTGTGTTGACAGTTAAATACCAGTTTTTACAATAAGAAGCAACTGCATTTAATGCGGCCTGTAATTCTGAAGGAGTCTCTGCCGGTACAATCGTATCATCCGCGTAAAGCAGGACATATAATTTCAAATATATCCTTATTTCACCATTCATCACAATGCGGCATTCAGTTGAGAAAAGTTGTAGTCCATTGTACCATTGACTCACATATTTTTCAAAGTCATTTAAATATAGTGCAAACAATAGTGGTGATAAATTATCCCCCTGACGCACTCCTACATTACATACAAATTGTTCAGATAAATCATAACCAGCTCTAACACAAGATTTGGCATTCTCATAAATATTATGTATCACATTTAGTACTCTTCTGTTTATACCAAGTGCAACTAATTTAAACCGTAGTGATGACCTATCTACCAAATCAAACGCTTTTTTATAATCAACAAAAGCACAATACAGTCTTTTTTTCTTATACAAGTACAATTCAACCAGTGAGTGAAGAACAAAAATATGGTCAAGGGTTGAAAAGCCTTTCCTAAACCCTGCCTGCTCTTCTTCAAGAATTCTTTCAGACTCTATATAAGCAGTTAGTCTGTAATTTATTACAGCCGTAAAAAGCTTACCAATACAACTAAGCAAAGTAATACCTCCGTAATTTTCAGGATCATCTACTGGTCCCTTGTTTTTGTATAATGGTTTTATCACTCCTAAACACCAGTCAGTGGGGAGAGTTTCTTAAAATATTCAGCAAAGGTTTCTATAGATACATTTCCTAATCTTCCAGATAGTTTACCTGCATTTAGAATAGACCAATATTCATTACTATGAGATTTCTTAAGTGTACGAAGTTTCCTATGTAAAAAATCATAGAACTGCCTTGAACATTTCCATATGATGGATTTATACTTTCTAGCTATACATTTTATTTCAACTTTACATTGAGCAGAGCGGTTAAATTTAAATATATTCATAGATTTAAAATATTTTCTACGGGCCTCAACACATTCAGCATTAAACCAGGGTTTTCTCTTCATACACTGATGAAGAATGTGAATTCTGTCATATAGTGATTTGTTGTGGACATGCTCTGATTCTTTTGAAAATCATTGTAATCTCTCTACTCAAAATGGCAGCTTCACAGCAGAGTTCCTTGACTGAAGAGAGAGACGAGCTGAAGAGGAAGCTGAATGACCTTGTTAAGTTTAGGACGAGTCTCATACAAGATCTGATGAATCTAATTCAAAGTGGAAGACCAATACTAATGTGGCTCAGTATATACATCTTTTGTCATTAATTCCTCTATTCAAATTGATTGAGAAGAAAACATGTGCAGTAGCAAAACACAACAAACACGCAATTTACTAACACAAAATAGTTGCTACACATCAGTGAGGATCTAATATGCTTTTCCTTATTTTGTGTCAGGAGTTCATATTAAACGTCACTTAAGTTTCAAAATGTATGTCAAAGTAATCCCTGTGAGCAAAAACCTCAGGCCTCAGACCACTCTGAATAATGTGTTTCAAGAAAGCACTGTGCATGTTTATGAGTGTAGACATAAAGCATTATGACTACATTATAATTCACATTAATGGAATACGGAACGTCTGTTATAAAGTGATTGGTTGTGGACCATTCTCGGAACCCATCGGCTATTCGGTGTCTGACTTCCGGAAGACAGTGATACAGCCTCTGGGGGCAGACCCCTGATTTTTTGGCATTCCGGTTTGATTTGGGCGGAGGAGGCGAATTTCCGTTTCCGACTTCCATTTATATTTAAGTAAATATGCTGAACCATCGCGATGGATTCATAGTTTGCAGTGCCGCCTCGTTAGTTCACCGCACGGACCGTTTAACCTGGCAACAACTGCAGCCGGCTCAAACGTGATTGATCAATATCATGCGGACTTCAAAAACAGCCTACAACCGGAAACCAGGGCTCTTCCGCTCTTCTTCTGGAGGCAAGATCTCCGGGGTTTGCCTACAGACTCTACATTCTCTGAATGTAGAATAAAACAGAAACAGAGTGTTCAGGATCAAATCTAGGTGTTACTGCAAAGAAGCTACATATTCTAAAATGTGGCTGCTTGACACACATCTTCAACCTGGAAGCATTTATATGTCTTTTTCTTTCTTCTATCAACAGCTCACTATTCAAACCAAGGATGGGTGTATTTCAGTAGTAGTTTCTACTATATTTCTTCAATCAAGGAAACCTGGCAAGACAGCAGAGATGACTGTGTGCGAAGAGGTGCAGACCTGATGATTATCAACAGCGAAGAGGAACAGGTGTGGGTGTGTGTGTGTGTGTATGCATGTGACAGTGGTTATACATGTATATTATATGTTTGTTTGTTTTGCTTTAATAACAAGGAATTCACAAGAAAATACCGACAGATAATGTGGATTGGACTGACTGACAGAGAGACAGAGGAGGTATGGAAATGGGTGGATGGCACTCTGCTGACAACAAGGTACACACATCACTCTTTAATTCAAATTTAGACATAACAGTACCTAAGCTGACAATTTCACTGTCAATAAAACATGATTTTCAATGATTGCTTTTACTTTAACTTAGTCACATTCTGTTTATTGATGTTTATTAAATGATTGTTCGTGTTCTTTATGAAAAGCATATTTGTTTTTTCATTTCAGCTTCTGGCACTCAGGGGAACCAAACAATTATGAAGGCACAAACGAAGACTGTGTGGCAGTAAACTACCATGATTACAAAAACAGCTGGAATGATTTAGAATGTGTAATTAAAAACTTCTGGATCTGTGAAAAGAAAATGACTCTGTAAATCTGGACACAAACAAACCAATGTTGTTACATCGTAAAACAGATTTATTTTCAATTGTGATTTGTAATTAATTAAAGGCACAAACATGTTTTGATTTGGGCCAGCTGTAGAAAATGTTCACATAATTTGACTAAAAAAATATCAGTCAAGGAGGTTGATTATTGATTACATTACATTATAATGCTTGAAGATCATTTGGAATGATGGTTTATGAATTATTGCATGTGATTATTATCAAATTCTAGGCTAGCAAGAGTAGTGCAACAACAGCAAATAAATAAGTCCGGGGGCATGCTCCTCCGGGAGAAATATATTTGTATATATATTTGATTTAAAGGCATCAATCTGGTGAATTCTGAGAGCCAAGTTATGCTTTTAATTTTAAGTTGTGCTTTTAATGTGTGAAAAATGTTCTATTTTTATTGATAAACACACTAGTGTTATTTATGGTGAAGGGTTACACTTAAAATACGGCTAAGGATTAGTGGTTAAACATTTCAGTCATCAAAAGAAAAATGACTTAACGTACATCTGGAGGGCTGATTTATTTTATTTTATTTTTTTCGTCTTAGCTCTTTAGAAACTACCATTATATTATTTGGCGCTACGGACGCTTCATATCCAGGCCTATAGATCAGGGGTCCGTTTCACAAAGCAGGTTTAGTGAAAACTCAGAGTCTGTTAACCCTGAAATGAGGGAAACTCTGTGTTTTCTGTTTCAAAAAGGGAGGTAACTCAAACCAGAGAAAGAGGGAGGTAACTCTAGCCTGTTTCAGAGAGAGAGGTAACTTAAGCTCTTGGTCAGTTACCGTAGTAACAGACTCTATGAACCTAACCTGGTCGGGAGCAGGTTTTTCTCAATGAACCTCGAGTTTCTCTCTGTCTCCGCCCTCTTTGAGAGCCACACACTGCATTGGATTTCCTCATTCATTCAATCAGCAGGCAAGTTTTGGTGTAGCCTAGTTCTGCCGACTGTCATTTTAAAAAATCATTAAAAAAATCAGAGTCAGTATATTAGAAGTCCATTAGGCACAGTAGGTGGCGACTTTTTTCACTAACATGGCATGTCCTTTTGATAACGATTGTGTGGATGAAGGTGCAGCATTACTGCGCAGAGAATTAAATATTCGTTGGGAGATGGTTATCAGACTGCGCATAGATGTTCTAGCATTTCCACACAATTATCTTTTTGAGCTGTACCGTTTCACGTCACAGTCCATCATCTACATACACAACCTAATCCGTCCTTACATTTGCAACATTACCAATCGTAGTCATGCTCTCACATCCCAGCAGATATTGTGTGTTGCACTGCGTTTCTTTGCAAATGGAAGTTTTTTGTACAATGTCGGAGATGCTGAGCACTTGAGTAAGGCAACTGTATGCACGGCGGTTAGAAAAGTGTGCTCGTTTTACTGGCATCTGCCTTCTTTCTGTTGGCTGAGTAGAAGTCTGTGTTAGTTTAAATAGGCTTAATTATTTAACAGAACATAATATAGATGAGAAGACATTTATGTGTGTGAAAACAGCATTATGTTGGGGATAAAACAACTGCACAGTCAAACAGCCACTTAATATTTACTTTGCAATGTAAAACATGATCAAAATGAGGTACCCCCATGAGATTATGCCGAGGTCTTACCTGTTTGAACAATGTTTTTATATTTCATCCTAAGCTGCTGCCAAGTGCGCTTCTCCCCCGCGGGATTGCAGCTAAATGAAATAAATTAATAGGCTACCATTCAAGCAGTTTTCCCCTGTAATATTATTGTGATTGCAAAGGACTACATTTAAACTTACGCACTGACCCAAGCAGCAATGTTCTCCCACGCCGTCTCCCTCTCCTTTGCAGCTGCAGCGGTGTTGCACTTCTTTTTGAAAACGTGTTCAAACTCACCGTATGAGCGCATTAAGATTTATAATTCTAGTGGGGTGAAAAACGCAGCCCTCCTCTTCCCTGTTGCCATGGTGACTCGTCGAATCGGGGCTCCATTGATGCTGGCTTTTTATAGTTGTGGTGCACGCGCTTAACTCCAGGTGAAACTACTCCGAGTTGATTAAACTGATTCAAATCAGCTGTTCTGGAACCGGAAACTCAGAGTTTCCTATCTCAGAGTAGATCAACTCAGAGTTCAGGATTAGACTCAGAGTTTGTTGAACCTGCTTTGTGAAACGGACCCCAGGTCCATGTCTTTTTATTAAACAAACTAAATAGCCTTATGTTATTTATCTTATTTATACCACGGCATGTCATTTCTGTCTGTACATGGTGGCGCATTTACAGTTCTTCTGTGCTCTCTGTATTGCGCACGGCGGAGTTTCGCCCCGATGCGCGCGCGCGCGCGCGCACACACACACACACACACACACACACACACACACACGACATATAGTAGTTATATGGCAACAATGCATCTTGACGCTATGCAGTCATGTTCTCATGAAAGGAAATTTCCAACAAAGAAATGGCACCTCTGCTGTAAATAACCCACCCCTCCACTGATGACCAGCTTCTCACTCCATCTTTTGAGATATCTGCTTTTAAAGTATGAACCCTTTCCTGACATGGTGAAAATGTATCATATGACTTTCTTCCTGTTGAGTATATGCTGCACAATAACTACAACCGATGGTTTCGCTTCTGTTGTCTTTTCTAATTACGTAGGGGGCAGAAGCAGAGAAGGAAAATATCAACAGACAAGTCAGAAATGGATCAGAAAATAACATTTGAGCAGCACTAGATGCCTATTCAAAATAACAGGTGTAACCAAGTCATGGTTTAAGAGACGTTGTTGTGAACATGACAGACACACTTCTGTTGTTTTTCAGGGATTAGATCAGTTCTCACTGTTTGCAGCACCTGTTTTAGAAAACCCACCATCTTACCTCCAATTCTTCCAGCCAGGGTTGGAAATTAGCACCAGTCACCAGCCAAATATGCAAATATCTGCTAGATTTGCTTCAGTCAGCCCAAACACCATGGTAATCTATTGAGTGGCTGTTAGATTTTGGAATCTACTAGCCACAATTGCAGGTAGACAAAAGTGAATTTCCAACAGTGATGACTTGTTTTGTGTTTCAACAGCAGATAGTATTCTGTGTTGCGTGTTGTGACTATATCACAATAACAGCAATGAAAAGTTCGTCCCAGTGTGCTAACAGATCAGGAATTAGCTAGTAAACATTTTATAATTCTCAATGAAATAATTTCACAGTTGATGCATTGTCTCTCGTGTTTTTTGTTCATCATGTAAGAAATTCAGGTTTAACTCTCAACATTACTGTGACTTTTTTAAGACAAACAGACCTTCCTTTAAGTGAAGAGCAGTTCTCACTGTACAGGAGGAAGTCTATTTTTGTGAGCACTTCTTCTCACTTCTGAGTAAATGTTCACTGAGCCTGTATCTGTTCTGACAGTTAAGTTTGTATTGTATCTTTTTTGGTTATAGGAGCTTAACTTTTGTGACAATAATACCAATAATTAAAAGGACTACTGGGTGTAAAGAGCTCATTTGTTTATTTAATGTTGTTGAATTTAAGAAGGCATGGAATCTCAAAATGAAAAATATGACATCAGTGAAATTAGTGTGAAAAAAACATTTACCGGTACTTTAAAATGAGGAAGTACATGAGTGCTTTGCAGTTTAAGCAGCGCACAAAAGAAGAAGCAGATCACAGAAACCACCAGTAAGACATCCATCACACTCTGAGTGAAATATGGCCGTCTATGAAAATGCATCAGAGATCACTGTGGAGATGATGAACCTCTCTGATGCGTCAGCCAGGACTGCTGCCTCCAAGAGTCACAGTGATGAAGATGGTACCACAGTGCCCGGTGAGACAGAATTGCTATCAATGTTTGGCTGTTTGAAACATCAAAGTAACATCACAAGGTCACACAGGGTATACTGTCATTTAGAGATTTAAGAAAACATCATCCAGAGAATCTGTGTAGGTTCAGTGTAGAAGTGGAAACGTCCTTTTAGTTTCCTGGTCTTTATTTATTTATTTATTTTTATCAACTCTGTGACCATTTAAACATTGTTGTATTTTCTTTTTTTGTATGAATGTCATGTTTACCTTTTGACGGACAGATTACCCATTTCAAAGATGATATTTAATACTAGAATTTCGATCACATGGCTGTGACATTATACCAACGAGACCTGTTTGATGTCTGACAGAAAGTCAAAAAAGAGTCTGACAACCAGCAGTCGTCCCTTTTTAGTCTTATCGCCTTTTTGTGATAGTTGTGGTTAGTGTCCTAAGTGCTTAGAAAACTGTTAATCAGGTAATGCACTGTGTGTTTGTGTGTGTGTATGTGTGTGTGTGTGTGTTTTCCATACACAGGAGGAAAACTGCTCAGATGTGTTGCCGTGAGCTTTTGTCTCCTGTGTGTCCTACAAGTTGCTCTAAACATTTCCCTCCGTCTTGCTCTCTGTGAGTTTTATTAAATTATTACATCATATATTAATTAATATGAATTCATTTTCTAACAGAGTTGAAGTTTGTCACTACAGGCGTTGCCATTTCCTGTGTGATACCATGGTTGTGTGGTTTGTCGCTGTATGACAGAATTGTTTGTTTAACAGATACATTTAACTTATAAAAATACCTACAGCTTTATGGAAAGATTCATGTTATATGGAAATTCTGTGTTAAAGTGAATTGTCTCTTTAGTTGTGAACATAATCTGATTCTGTTGCAAATGATGTTAGCCCCTCCACCAGGGATTGATGCCAGTTTTAAAAATCTGACTGAGGAGAGAGACGAGTTGAGGAGCATCAACCTTCATAAGTACGATAATGAAACTACTCCAATAATCTGGAAGAGAGGATGGGACTTTCTATGGTTGAATTCATGATTTATTATCATGCATTATCATGCAGTATTTTCAACTTCCTGAAGTCTAGTGTACATTAGGTGACAGTTTGCGTCTCTGGTCTGTATTTGCTTGAGAGAATAGTTCTTTAAATGCTGTAGTTAGTAACTTAAAAAAAAATACATTGTGTAATATTTGCTGAAACTGTCACTTATCCACAGTGTTACATAAGACAGATATTCTGTAAAGAATTAAAATCACGTACTCTTTCTCCTCGTATTGCTTCTAATGGC